TCTTTCTTTCGCCGTTTTTCTTGTGTGAAGAATTCTTCCTGTATTTTCCCTTCCCTTGTGTTCTGACAACGGCTATCTGTTTTTGGCATCGGGTTGTGACTCCATGACTTCCCAAACCCCGAGAGTTTTTGCAAGAATTTTGATTATGGACAAGATAATTCTTTTGAAGCTTGACTTTAGTGATCTTCTCACCAATATCTTCCAGACCTCGTGAGATTGTGATGCAAGCCTACGATTGCTTTGTGATTCTTTTTTTCCATTATTTATTACTCGCTTATCTTTGTTGTAGTTGTTTTTCTTCTTGCTCGTACAACATCTCAAGACCAAAATTGATGCTGACTTTATAGAAATTAATCTTAGTGACTTGGCTTAGCCTTGTCTTCTTAGCCTTGCAAATCAAAGCTTAGGAAATATCTCTATCTCTCTCCTTTTCTTTACCTATCTATCTACTTATTTATCTATCACACACCTCTTCACACACTATATCGCCAAATGTCTGGAGGTAAAAGAAACTTAGGAAAGACCTGAGGAAAGTTAAATCTACAAATCTGTTACCCGACAAGATCCTGTATGGTACCGACAATGAGTCATCTAGCAACATCACCTATTTTAAATAATTTATATAATTTTTAAATTGCGAACTATGTTTTACTATGGGAGACGGGATTTTAAAATGTTTTAAAATCTAACGTGCCAAATTGTAGATTTCTGATTATTTTCTACTATATTAATATTAATTACCCACTGGCAGTACTCGAACCAAAACAGAAACAAAACATGAACTTTGAAAATTTTATGGAAAAAAAAATGAAATTGGCTGTGCAACAATTTATTCACCCCTTTTTACATAAGATGGACTCGTCCAAAGTATATTTATACTGACAGAGAGAATACATGCCGTTGAGATACGTGAAGATACGTTGAGATACGTTGAGACAGGTTGAGAGATACGCAGACAGACACAGGGTGTACTCAGAGAGTTATACAAGAGTCTAGAGAGAGAGAGAGAGAGAGAGAGAGATGATTACAGCTTTACTTACAGAGACTTGTACATATACTTTTCTACTAACCCGAACTCCTGGACTACTAATCTTCACTTCAAGTCTGTATTCTTACGTTTAATACACTTATTTTTCTATCTCAATTACTGGCGTTGTTTATTTATTTGTGCAGGATTCCATTCACGGAATCCACAACAGTAAATCAGTTAATTTATAACACACACACACACACACACACACACACATATATATATATATATATATATATATATATATATATATATATATATATATATATATAAATTAACTGATTTAAAATTTGGTAAATCACTTAATTTATAATATTTATGCTCTAAATTTTAATTGATCACTGTTTTGTAAAAATAAAATATCAATAAGAACAGCGGATTATATATCTTATTGTTCTTTCTTTTTTTATATATATATATATATATATATATATATATATATATATATATATATATATATATATATATACCGGTGTAACAGCAAAATTGACCAAATCGTGTAACAACAAAATTGTTCACCGAATAATATAGACATATTGGGCCTACATCTTTTTACAATGATTTTTACCAGTTCTCTAATCAGTCTCAATGTTGAGATGAATTTCATCAAAGAAGGCGCCATATTTTTTTCTAACTCAAATACTTTTTACCTTAACTAAGATCATCTGGAGTGAATTATAATGGCAAATACGCTATTCTAACTAATAAAAACCTGCATTCCTTTGACATAGTTATTTTTAAAACAGTCATCTTTACAAACAATACAATAACGTGAACAAAAACTAAAATTGGAATGTTACATCAAAATATAGAAAACCTTAAAGAACTAATTAAAATAAATCCAGAAATTCGTGACCTTCTAAAAATTCGTGACCTTCTAAAAGCTGAAGCAATACAAAAACAGACAGGACAAGGGGAAAAACTCCTCCACGTTCCTGAAAAAAACATTTACAATCGAATGAATGGTGTAACTATGCTCATATAACTTTAAAAAAAAAGCAGATAAAACCAATATTTTTGTTGTATTAAATAAATCCGATTATAATTCGAAATTACAGAAAATACTCTACTAACCAAATTAAAATAAAAATTAATAAACTAATCACAGCCAACAACGCAAACATTACAACTTAAAACTCCCCCAAATAATCGGAGACTACAAACCAGGGTACATATACAGAACTATGAAAATGCACAATCCTAACTTCTCTCTCCGTCCCATCATATACAAAATCCCCACCCCGGTTTAGCAATTAACCCTAGAACACTAACCACCAATTAAAGTTACACCACTACTAAGCATGGGTATATAATACCCGATATTGAAAATATCAAAATAAATATTAAATATAAATCTGTATTTGAAATATTTTACATGCAGGCACTGCAAACTATCTACTTTGAGTTAACATTAATAGGAACTGAAAAACATATAAGTTAGGTAAGAAAATGTGGTACTGAAAATTGTAATTAAAAATAGAAAATTTGCGCTGGGTACTACATACCCATGGATAGTGTTTTAGGGTTAAGCAACTCATTGCACCATACATACCAAATAAATACAGTATTAAATCATGAACTAATCAAAATCTTTAAAACACAAATACCATTATTATAATGAAGAAACCATAGCCTCACTTGATGTTTGAAAATTTATTTACCAATATCTCAGAAAAACAATTGCTATAATTATAAAGAACATTTACAACGATCCATTTCTTCTTCCACTAAAAATAAAACCTAATATATTACGAAAACTACTTTTTCCTTCTCTGACCATCCAAATAATACATACGTAAAACATAATGGCGTTTCCATGGGTTCACTTCTGGGACCAATATTTAGTAACTTCTATAAGGCTAATCTTGAAAATAAGATATTTAACACCACTATAAAATCTTCCATCTATCTACGATATATAAATGATATTTTTATATTAGTTAAAAACATGCATGAACCACATGAGAGACAAAAGAAAAAGCTGAGAAAAACTTGACATGAAGATTAGTAATAAAATCCCTTTTCTGGATGATCTGATAGACACTGATAATTATACATTTACTACATCCCCATATAAAAACAATTAGCGTAAACACCTGCGCTCTAAACTATAAAATGAATAGCCTATTACAAAAATGCTATTACACAAAATGTGATACATCGTGCAGAAGTTAACTCCTCCACGAAAATATTTGTACACTGAATTAAAAAAAAATTAAACTCTCATTAAAAATGACTTTTCTAATTACATCGCTGATTAACAAATTAGACGAGAAAATATTAACATAAATTAAAAGAACATAATACTTTCTTAAATAACCCTATACATATCAACGTACTATAACGTACTCAAATGTATTATAACTATAAAAAAAGATGAAAATGTCCTAAAAATATAAATAAGAACTAATATACCCCCCACTGATCCCAATAAAAAAAAAACTAAAACTAATTTTATATTATACTAAATTAACATCAGGTAATTTATGGAGCTATATAAGGAGCCGACCGATAGATCGGATATATGCATAATATTTGAGGTATGGGATAAACCTCATTCTCAATAAACTTTCAAAAAGAAGCCTCGTTGAGAGTGCAACCATTTATTTTATTTATCTGGCGAGAATTCGGGTTCCGTTAGGCGATGATGAAATGTCACAACGGACCAGCTAAAAATGATAAAACCCTGTAGAGGACCACTTTTACTCGACAAAAGAAAAGAACAATAAAAAAGTAGTTGATGTAACCATGAGAAGCTATGACAGAGCTAGGGTACGAACTGGTCAGAGTCTTTTTAACAAAAAGATATAAGGTTTGCACAAAGACGACGGGTTCCTCCCTCCCCATTGGGTTCTTAGAATTCGTGCCGATGAGAAATTAGATTTTTGGGGAGAACCCACTTGAGTAATTAGTGGTGTGTCCACCAGTGAGCAATGGTTAGAACGATAAACTGTTGTTTACAAGTTCGAGACTAACTTCTTTTGCCAGACTATGCTAAGTTGAGTAAGTGTCAGAAACAGAATCAGGGCGATATTCTCTGTGCTATTTCCAGTTAATTCGTTCAACACTTCGAGCTCCATGAATTCGGCCCTCTGCCAAATTTAGCTCTGACAGAAAATCTCTCCTTCTGTGGAGAAAACAGCGGGAGAATCTTTTACCCAAATACAAGCTCCCGCTAATAGTCACACCTATCTCTACTAATGTCCTCACTTCTCCTGATAATATCTTTTGTAGTTATTCCCTCTTTGAAAGCTCACGTTTCATTTTGCCAACAAAATAATCGTAGCCAATGTTTGTCGACTCTCATCTTTTTTTTTCTTTGTTCTTTGTCGAAAATAATTAAGTCCCTTTTCCTCACACCTTAAATATTTTGGCTGCACCTCAAACTCCGACTGGTAATTGTTTTCTATGACCTTTCTGGAAAAGATTCTCGTTTGAACTCATATAATTATACTATTGTCATTATATATAGTATATTTTTCCATTAGTGAAATCATATGTGTTTTGTTAAAGATCAACAGAACGCAAATACAACAGTACACTCCGTAGGATTTTATTATTATTGTTATTACCATTGTAAGGGTCTATACAACCTTTGTGATTGTTGTAAGGATTATTATAACCAATAGCAAACTGGGCTATATTTAATAGGCAGAAAGAATGAAAGAAAGAAACGCAAGTAATGAAAAGAGACAGAGAGAGAAGGAGAGAGAGGATGTGTTGAAAAGAAAGAAAACCAAGGAATAGAGATAAGCGTGGTAAAACATACAAAGGAAGACAAGTAATGAATACAGAGAGACGTGTTAGAAAATAGCAAGAAAGACAATGACTATAGAGAGAGACGTATTATTAAATAGAAAAGAAGATAATGAATAGAGAGAGGCGTTTTAGAAGAGAGAAAGGTAGACAACTAATAGGCAAAGAGACATGTTAGAAACAGCAAGAAAGACAATGAATAGAGAAAGACCTTTTAACAGATAGAAAGGGAGATAATGGAGAGAGACGTTTTAGAAGAGAGAAAGGAAGACAAGTAATAAATACGGAGTGACATGTTAGAAAATAGCAAGAAAGACAAGGAGACAATGAATAGAGAGAGAGAGAGAGACGTGCTAGTAGATTGAAAGAAAGATAATAGAGAGAAACGCTGTAAAACATAGAAAGGAAGACAATGAATAAAGAGAGATATGTTAGAAAATTGCAAGGAAGACAGTGAATAGAGAAACATATTAAAAAATAGAAAGGAAGACAATGAATAAAATTGGCCAGCAATGGAGAAAGAAGGATAATAGCAAGGAGAGAGTAATGAATAACGAATAGAGAGAGACGTGATAGAAGATAAAATAGAGAGGCGTTTTAGAAGAGAGAAGACAACTAATAAAATGAATACGTTTTAGAAGAGAAAAGGAAGAGAGAGAGACGGAAGATAAAATGGAAGACAATTAGTAAATAGAAAAGAAGATAAGGAATAGAGATAGACGTTTCAGAAGAGAGAAAGGAAGACAAGTAATAAATAAAGAGACATCTAGAAACAGCAAGGAAGACTACGCATAGAGAAAGACCTTTTAACAGATAGAAAGGGAGATAATAAATAGAGAGAGACGTTTTAGAAGAGAGAAAGGAAGACATGTAATAAATAGAGAGAGACATGTTAGAAAATAGCAGGGAAGACAAATAATAGAGAGAGACGTGTTAGTAAATTGAAGGGAAGATAATGAATTGAGAGAGACGTTTTAGAAAAGAGAAAGGAAGACAATTAATAAATACAGAGAGACATGTTAGAAAACAGCAGACAATAAATAGAAAGAGACCTCTCAGCAGATATAAAGTAAGATAATGAAGAGAGACGTTTTTAGAAGAGAGAAAAAAAACATTTAATGAATACTGAGAGATATGTTAAAAAACAGCCAGGAAGACGATGAATAGAGAGAGACCTGTCAGCAGATAGAAAGGAAGATAATGAACAGAGAAAGACCGTTTGGAAAAGAAAAAAAGGAAGACAAGTAATAAATATGGAGTGACATGTTAGAAAACAGCAAGGGAGACAAGGAATAGAGAGAATCGTGATAAAACATGGAAAGGAAGACAAGTAATAAATAAAGAGAGACATGTAAGAAAATTGCAAGGAAGACAATGAAAAGAGAGAGAGACATGTTAGTCGATAGAAAAGAAGACAATAAATTAAGAGTGTCCATTTAAAGGATAGAAAGAAAGAGAAGCAACGAATAGAGAGAGGTACGTTAGAAAATAAAAAGGAAGAAAATGAATAGAGAGAGACGTTTTAGTAGATAGAGGGTCAATGACTAGAGCGCGACGCGTTAGTAGATAGGAAGACATTGAGTATAGAGAGACCTGTTAAAGAATAGAAATAAGTACGAGAAACTTAAGAGAGAGGCACGTTATAAATTATAATGGAAGACAAGTTATGAGAGAGACGTCTTAGAAGATAGAAAGGAAGACAATGAAGAAACGTGTATCTAGATAGAAAGATAATGAATAGTTTGAGAGATATTTAAAGATAAAATGGAGAAAAAAATAATGAATTGAGTGAGGCATGTTAGAATATAAAATGGAAGACAAGCAATGAATAGAAAGAGACATTGTAGAGGTGAAAATGGAAACAAGTAACGAAGTGATAGAGACGTTATAAAAGAAAGAAAGAAAGAAAGTGTTGAGAGGTTATCCCCTTTTGACACAAATGGACTCACCCAGGGTATACATATACTACTGCTAGTGAATACCCGGAGAGAGCAAGACCGTCGAGTAGAGTCGAGTCCAGTGTGACAGAGTAAAAGGTTGTAGGTAACCGGAAGAGTGAGGGGTGAGGTAACAGCGTTGTAGGAGTCACAGTGAGTGAGCACGTAGACTCAGTAAGAAGTCATACAGCGATACTTCAATACCAAAGACTGTATAGATATTTTGCTACTAACCCGTATTCCTGGAACTACTAACCTGCATTACCAGTTTGTATTATTACGTTAATACATTATTTTCATATATTCATTCTTGGCGTTTGTTATTTATTGGTACAGGATTTCATCCCGGAATCTACAAAAGAAAGAAAGAAAGAAAGAAAGAAAGAAAGAAAGAAAGAAAGAAAGAAAGACACTAAGATAGTCAATGGAGAAATGAAAGAAGATAGATAGATAGATAGATAGATAGATAGATAGATAGATATGAAAAGACTGAGATAGATTGATAGAGAGGTACGAAAAAACTGCGATAGATTTATGGATAGACAGATCGATAGATTGATAGATGTGAAGAGACTGAGGAAGATGGATAGAATATATATAAACAGAGATATGCACGCAAATAGCTAGCTAGCTAGATAGATAGATAGCTAGATAGCTAGCTAGATAGATATAAACAGAGATATCTAGATAGATATGAACAGACTGAGATAGATAGATAGATATAAGCAGAGATAGCTAGGTGAATAGATAGATTGATATGAACAAACAGAGATAAGTAAATAGATAAATATTAAGAGACTAAGACATATAGATATGGACAGACTGCTATAGACAGATAAAGCAATAGTTAAACAGACTAGTTCACTCATACAAAAAATAAAACGGGGAATATTTTCCACAGAATAATATTTCTAGATTAACATTTGTTAGAACATCTTCAGACTTGATATTTATAAATTAAAACAAAATAGGTTCAGATAATTCTGTAAAACCGAGAATGTCTATTTTACAACTGTTCTTCTAGTATGGACAAGACAGTCACCTCTAAAATGTTAATAAAGATATTTTTCGATTCTGAAAATTGCGTGTCTCGGACAAGTGTATGGGTCAAGTAAGTCGAAATTTTAGCCTCCACAACTTTCTTGACACAAATATGCAAAGGTTGGAGTGTCTTTACTTTTTGTTGAAAATTAATTTGGCCCTCGTTTAGTCAGAATGTTTTTTTTTCTTGTAAAAAGCCCAAAACTTACGGTTTTTTTTATCTTCCTTTTTTGCCATGGAGGCTCGAGCCGCGTTAAGAAGCAAATGTTCTGACTAAAAAATAGAGAAAGAAGCTCCATTTTTACAAGCAGATATCCACGCCTTCTCAATAACTGCCAGTTTGTTACTTCCCGGATGTTGCGTGATTCAACACATTTGATGAGATGTTTCCTGGTACATTGACCCGAAACAATTTTAGTTGACTCATGTGAGTCAAAGGAAAAAAAATTAGAGCAACAGACATAATTTAAACAAAGAAATATTAGCAAATATAGTGACTGGATGTTTTACAAAAAGAAAATATGTGAAATTAAATTAAATGTGTAGAGTTCAAAGCAAACTTCAGTGTCTGTAGTTGAGATATTTACATGGCGGCGGGAGCGAAAAGAAGATGTCCTTCCATATGAAGAGGTCAAAAAGAATAAGATGGATTCTTTCATACCTCGCGACGCCTGTAATTATCGCCAGAGAATCGTAATTCAAAATCTCGCCACCTGTGATTATCAGCGGTATTCCAATACGGGCTAACTTTCGTTCTACATTCGGAAAGCATTATGAAGGCATTCAGAAAACAGTTGGAAGGCACTCAGGAGGTATTCGGAAAGGATTCGGGAAGAATTCGGGAAGCATTCGTAAACTATTCGGAATCATTCGTTCGGCATTCGTTCGTCATTCGGAAAGCATTTGGAAGGCATTCGCAAAGCATTCGGAAGGCATTCGGAAAGCATTGGGAAGACATTCAGAAAGCATTCGTTCGACATTCAGAAAGCATTCGGAAGGCATTCGGAATGTATTCGGACGTCATTCGGAAAGCATTCAGAAGGCATTCGGAAAGAATTTGGAAGGCATTCAGAAAGCATTTGGAAGACATTCAGGATGCATTCGGAAGATATCCAGAAAGCACTCGTTTGGTATTCGTTCAACATTCAGAAGGCATTGGGAAGGCATTTGGAAAGTATTCGGAAAGCATTCAGAAGGTATTCGAAAAGTATTCGGAAGGCATTCGGAAAGCATTCGGAAGACATTCGGAAAGCATTCGTAAGGCATTCGGAAAGCATTCGGAAGGCATTCGGAAAGCATTCGGAAGGCATTCGGATAGCATTCGGAAAGTATTCGGAAAGTATTTGGAAGGCATTCGGAAGGCATTCGAAAGATTATTCGGAAAGTATTCGGAAGGCATTCGGAAGGCATTCGGAAAGTATTCGGAAGGCATTCTGATGGCATTCGGATAGCATTCGGAAAGCATTCGGAAAGCATTCAGAAGGCATTCGGAAGGCATTCGGAAAGCATTCGGAAAGCATTCAGAAGGCATTCGGAAGGCATTCGAATAGCATTCGGAAAGCATTCGGAAGGCATTCGGAAAGCATTCGGAAGCCATTCGGAAAAAATTTGGCAGGCCTTCCGAAAGCATTCGGAAGGCATTTGAAGGCATTCATGAAGCATTCGGAAGATATTCAGAAAGCATTCGTTCGGCATTCGTACAACATTCAGAAGGCATTCGAAAAGTATTCGGAAAGCGTTCAGAAGGCATTCTGAAAGTATTTGGAAGGCATTCTGAAAGTATTCGGATAGCATTCGGAAGGCATTCGGAAAGTATTCGGAAGGCATTCGGATAGCATTCGGAAAGTATATGGAAGACATTCGGAAAGCATTCGGAAGGCATTCGGAAAGGATTCGGAAGGCATTCGGAAATTATTCGGAAGGCATTCGAGTAGCATTCGGAAGGCATTTGGAAGGCATTCGGAAAGCATTCGGAAGACATTCGGAAGGCATTCGGAAATTATTCGGAAGGCATTCGGAAGGCATTCGGAAAGCCTTCTGAAGACATTCGGGTGCATTCGGAACGTATTTGGAAAGCATTCGGAAGGCATTCGGAAAGCATACGGAAAGTATTTGGAAGGCATTCGGAAGGCATTCGGAAAGCATTCGGAAGGCATTCGAAAAGCATTCGGAAGACATTCGGAAAGCATTCCTTCGACATTCAGAAAGCATTCGTAAAGAATTCGGAAAGCATTCGGATGACATTCGGAAAGTATTCGGAAGGCATTCGGAAAGCATTCGGAAATTATTCGGAAAGCATTTGGAAGGCATTCTGAAAGCATTCTGAAGACATTCGGGTGCATTTGGAAACACCATATCATTCCTCTCTTTAAATTTTTTCGTCCTCGCAGCTGACAAGTTCCCAACTCTGGACTTGTAACTATTAACTTCTCAAACAACGAATTTCTGAAATACAATATATTTACAATATGTGCATTTATTAGATTTTTTTTTATTTTCCTAATCCTTATACTTACACTCATAATGCCGACATATGTTACATTACTTATCCATAAATAAAATACTTTTGTTGTTGCTGTGTCCGTAAAAAATAAAAATTAATTATAATGACAAAAATAATTATGGCAATTATAATTATCATTCTAAACTAATAGGAATTAACCCCATTTTTCTCCTCTACACGCACAGACATGTGACATTCTCACTATCGGACAAGCAGTTCACACAGACAGGTTATCAAAACGTGCGTCAACGAAAATTTCATCCCCTTTTTCTTTTTCAGGCATAATAGTACAATTTATCTTTGAAGACTTAACAAAAATTCATGGAAAGAAAATAAACCCTGGAATTATTTTCTAAGTAAATTATCAGGACACATTTTATATGCATCTAGATTTGTAAATGTACAAGATGGACTCTGACAAGAAAAACCTTCTGGCACGAGACAATGAACCAACTTTCCTTGCAGTAGATGCAGTTATTGATTCAAGAGCTAAGAATGTACAGTGAGATGCTTTCCAGGAGTCGAGCATCAGGCATGCTTATGGCGGACAGGGAAGTTTATCTATGGTGGTTAAATAAGAGCAGTTTAGTTTTGAAGGCATTAATATTTACAAGCCATTTTCTTCCCCAGTTAACCAGTTAGGAGGTTCTTTTCAAGAGCAACGGCCAGGTTATTTTTGTCAGCTCTGACGGATTTTCTATTGAAACAAAAGTAAATTATAGTGTCATCTGCATAAATGCCTACTTCAGAACTAATACAAAATAGCGTTAGAACCAGGATAGAGCCATAGAAGACACCCGCGTTCGTGAGAAAGGATCTAGAAGCGACCTTCATTTCACGATTAGGTAAGAAACTGTACCTGTACCCGTAAAGGCATTCACCCGGGGTGGGTTGAGCCGGCTCCAATATTGGAGTTTCATGGGAATTTGGAATTCACAAGCGGTCCCCAAACCAGCATGTATAGGCTTCAGATCAGTTCTTAGGAAACCGACAGCCCGACAGCAGCACATGAGATTTGAATATAGTGGTGAAGGTTTCGTACAGGACCATCCACACATTTTGAAGGGCCGATTACAGAGACCTGGTGCACTACATGCCACAAGGTCCCCAAACAAACCTCCGCAGGTTTTGAATTCAGAGTTTTCCTTCTCCTAGAAGTTGCCATCCAAGGCTATAGAACACAGTCTGTCCTGCTATTTACCTGGAGGGAGAAGAAGAGGATTCACACCTTTCCCAAGGGTATTAGCACGTAAGTGAATGTAATGGATTCGACTGGAATTCGAACTCGGCTCTCCGATTCCTCAATTCAAGCCGTTATCCATTACTCCATAGTGCCACCATTTGTTAGTAGGAGGGTCTTGACTGGTAGGGGAGCTGAACGGGATGTTTACAGACAATACCTCATGGTCAGAGTTGCCAAGAAGGCAGAGTCAAGGATAAAGGTAAGAAAGAGACCGCAAAGAGAAGAATGTCCCTCAGGGCTGCTGTGGAAAACGCCTGGGAAATTTAACCACTGACTGGAGAGTTAAGCGTTTGGGTGCTAGCGAAGTCAGTGATAGATTGTTTAAGTCACCGGGTATGGTGGGCATTAAAGTCACCGAACACAAATTTATTTGCAAACGGGTGTAGAGAGATGGCATCTTCTATAAATACTGTCTAGCACGCAACAGTCTTGCGAGGAAGAGGAACGATAGAGAAAGAAGAGATAGCTGGCTGAGTTAAGTAGAGAGAGACGGAGACACATGTAAGAATCGTCTGGAGATTCAGGAGTGAGTTCCCTAGCTAGTGGGAGATGTTTGCGGACATAATCTCCCAGGTTATGCATTTGGACATTAGAGTTTTTCTAAAGAGAAGAAGGTAGTCAGGAATCGAGAAATCAGAGGAGGGAATTGAAGAGTTAAGATTAAGATTCGTAGAGAGCTAGAATGTCCGGAGACTTTTCGAAGAGGAACGATTTCACATCGTAGAACTTGGTACGAATACCACGAATGTTGGAGGAAGTAAGACTGAGGGGTTACATGATTTTTCTTTAGCTGGTTTACGTTTATATTTTTGGTTGTTTTTAGTCACGATGTGTTATTTTGGTGAGGAAAAACCTCGGGATTGAAGTGTCAGTCGATCGTCTAATATGCAGGAACGGAATTGGCACAGACTGCAATATAGGGCGGCCTCGGGGTTACCAACCAAAGATGCTTGTAGGGACACCCATCCATGCGCGCCATGGCATTGTAAA